TCTGAGTGAACACCTGAAAACGTAGAGTAATTTTGGGATTTTTTTGTAATTAAATAATAAAATAGCTGGAAATTCGGTTTGAAGACCTTTAATGCAGTATATAATAATAGCAATACCGGTATAATACCGGTATTATCGAAATATTATGCGTATACCGGTATTATTGAAAATTTCGGTTAAATACCAATATTTGACGTCCAATACCAATATTTGGTCTCGATTTTTCGTATATCACTATTATTGAATATGTTAATAAAAGTATTTCGATTTTTAGTCCTTGGTAGTTACCTCCGTAATATACAATAATTAATGTAGAAATAAATAAATCTCTTGTTTATAGCTGGATTTCCTAAAGAAATGTTTGGATAAGGATCCAAATGAAAGGTGGACGTGCGAACAATTGTTGAGGCATTCTTATTTCGATAATTTTCATTTTAAAATGCCAGATGTCGAGACGGAAGAGTTTGAAAAACTGAAAAAATATCGAGAACGTTCTAGGGTAAGTTTAATGATCAAACAACAAGAGTAATCTAAAAATACAAATCAATACATATAATAGGATTATATATATTATTATATTTCCAGAATACCAATTATAGTCAAATGGTGTTACCCCAACTACCTAAGGCTGGTCCTTCTGTTCATAGCCAAAGTGAAAATCGGCCGAAGAGCTCCTCAATACATCAGCAAAATTTTGACCATCTACCTACTATAAGAGGTTAATCAATTTCCTCTGTGATTGTACATATATTTTCCTAAGCTTTTTGAGAATATTAACGTTAATTTATAGAATTCTATGAAAATGAATGTTATTATATCTTCTCTTTTTGTTTGTATTAGCACATTCTTTTTTGATAGATTTTATTTAGATTTTTATTTATACATAGGAAAGAGTAGACGCGTGCAATTCATATGTATATCTCTTACAATAAAGTTTTGTATAAAACATGTATAAGAAATATTTATTTTAATACATAGTATTCTATTATACAGGGTGTTTCCAAATTAAATCGCAAAACTTCGGGAGCGTGTAGAGGAGTAAAAAACTAAGAAAAAAAGTCCTATAGACATATGCTCGTTTTTGCTCCGTTTCAGAGAAATCGAAAAAAAATGTTTACATTTCTTGCCATATCTAGCACCGACATATTTGATTACATTTTCCACTTTCTGTTATGAATTTGTCAGTCGCTCTTTGAAAGCCTTTAACAGTAGATGAATTTTGTCTTTTGCAATATGCCGCGTACGTATTCTAATAGTGAATATGCTGATATGGTTTTTGTATACGGTTTCTGCAACGGTAATGCTTTAAAGGCGGTGCGAGAATATGCACGACGATTTCCAAACAGAAGAGTGCCAAACCGAAGAGTGTTTATGTTGACATTTAATAGATTGCGAGAGACTGGATCATTTTCAATTCGACAAGAAAACAACCGATTTCAAGCAGCGTTACGAAGAGATTTGCAGGCAGGGAATCGTATTTTACAACATTTTGACAATCATCCTGAGACCAGCGTTCGGAATGCGTCGGCTGTATTGGGAGTGTCACCACAAACAATTTGGCGAACTGTAAAAGGAGATAATCGCTATCCCTACCACATTCAAAAAGTGCAAAATTTATTACCTCAAGATCATTGGAACAGATTGAACTTTTGTAACTGGTACCTTCAGACATGCCACAATGATATTTTATTTCCATCTAAAATAATGTGGTCAGATGAGGCAACATTTACCAGAGGTGGAATAATTAATCAAAGGAATTAT